TATACAGCAGTAGTACTGATTCAGTAGTGAAAGCAACGCGTGATTTGAACGCAACGTTACGATAAGTTTCACGTGTTTTGTGCGATCACTATATCGGGTGCCGACCGACGGGTTTGACTGACACACAGCACAGACAGTGGCGGACACTAAAGCAACGGATCCGATGGCCATGAAGTATATACTGGTGACGGGCGGTGTGATCAGCGGTATCGGCAAAGGGGTGATCGCCAGCAGTATTGGCACACTTCTCAAGTCGTTCGCCCTAAGGGTGACCAGCATTAAGATCGACCCCTATATCAACATCGATGCCGGCACTTTCTCGCCCTACGAACATGGTTAGTATGACCACCACCTCTACCCCTACCACCACTCTTACCACCGATCAGCGGTTGATATAGTTATTGTGGTTTATACGGGTGTCTGGGGGTCAGGGCTGAGGAGGAAGGGTAAGGGGAGTAGAGTGTTGTGTAGGACTGGTAGTGGTCTCTCATCGATGATTATATCCATATGCTGTTCACATTCAGACATAAATTGTGTTGAATTATAGTGCTTTAAATGAGATGAGAGACACCACTCATTACAACATGTAATTTGAATCAAGTTATTTGATAGCAGTTATTATACGGTATAATTTATACCCACTGTTTAACACCAAACTGATCACCAAAACACGTGTGAATACCCCCACACCCCCTGTTATACTCTCTCCTAATCTACACTAACCCATCGCTGCCCATCCTATGCGGCGGTATTGTACGGCCCATACAGTGGTATTAATGACGTGTTTGTCATACCTGTAGGTGAGGTGTATGTGTTGGACGACGGCGGCGAAGTAGATCTGGATCTGGGAAACTACGAGCGCTTTCTGGACATTACCCTCCATAAGGACAACAACATCACCACCGGTAAGATCTATCAGCACGTGATCGAGAAGGAACGCCGCGGCGACTACTTGGGCAAAACGGTGCAGATTATACCGCACGTGACCAACGCTATACAGGAATGGGTGGAACGGGTGGCCCGCATACCGGTGGACGTGCGGGATAGCGGTCTACACAATAGCGGTGGTGGTGGTGATGGACAGCAGGCGGTGGGGAAGTCATGTGTGCCGCAGGGGTGCGAGTCGTGTGCGCCGGAGGTGACCGTTGATGAGTCATGTGTGCCGCAGGTGTGTGTGATAGAGTTGGGCGGCACTATCGGCGACATAGAGGGCATGCCGTTCGTGGAGGCGTTCCGCCAGTTCGCCCGCAAAGTGGGTCCGACCAACTTCTGCAACGTTCACGTGTCGCTCGTACCGCAGCCCAAGACCACCGGCGAACACAAGACCAAACCCACGCAAGTGTCCGTACGCGAGCTCCGGGGTCTCGGACTCTCACCCGATTTGGTATGTATTTGTTGCGCCCATTTGTCTGATGCCTAACTGTTCCGCTCTCTATGTGTGTCCGCAGATCATATGCCGGAGCGAAAACCCCATCACCGATGAGGTGAAGGAGAAGATATCCAACTTCTGTCACGTAGACCCGGAGCAAGTGGTCTGCATTCACGACCGGTCGTCCATATAT